TAAAAGTCATTAGAAGGTGCAAGTCCGTGGTAATCCGACCATGTTTAGGTGGTTACAATAAAGCGATCACCCAGTACATTGCGCTGTCTTTTAAAATGTTTAGTGTAATACACCTTACGATTTCGGTACAGTTGCGTACAGTGTTAAATACATTCAATATTTATTCATTATTATTACCTATTATTTATTTTGTTTTTTTCCCTAATTGATCTTACGCACTAGTTTCTTTACTTAAAATTTATTTAGTCTTTTTTACTACCGGAGCTACAATCAACAGAAAATCTGCACTGGTCCGCTAAAATTATAAATATGTAGATACATGTATGAACGATTCACCTGACTGCAATAAAACTAAAATTTAAACCAATAAGAAATCGTTTCATTTCTTTGATTTTTTTTTTGTAAAGAAATAACACTAAAGTAATTGTATTTTATTTTGGGGTGTATAGAGCTTAGACTTGAATGCATCAAAATATTTAAAGCAACAAGTTATCTACAATAAGTTAAAATAGACCGAATAGTAGAAGAATACACTTGTAAATTAGAATGCATCAACATTGCATCGCCCAACAGACGTATACCTCGTAAGAGTAGGTAATATTGTTCTGTGGTCTATACCTAGAACCGAGAATTATCTATACCTATGTACCTATCGTTAAGCGTTACTGTTGATTTCTGTTAAAAACGAACAGTTGTTGAATGATATTTTGATATAATAACGGTAATTTAATTTATCGAGTGAAAGTGATACATTTTTATAGATAAAATTATTGGTCAGATAATATTTGTCAATCAAGAATCGCTGATAATACATCCTTCGCTAGAACGCGGGAGGGGAGGGGCGAAGGGATACTTCATTGTTTGCAATTTGCATCTAGTGCACTAAACTTGACCCTTAGGCAGATAATATACGTGTTGTAAAGTACGTGTGCGCTTCCGCTTTCTATTTTTGCAAATATTTATCGTATTCTTGAGAGTTCTTCAATATGTGTGTACCTAATTACTAATAATAGGCATTAATGCTAATTCGATTCAATTTAAGTAATTGTCAACTCTTGTCTTAGGATATTAATTACTAATGCTAATATTGAAATTTCGTTCAGGGTGAACAAATTAAAAACGATCATAGGTACGACCATCTTTTAGGTAGACAACGATCATCTTTTAGGTAGGTATATCACTTATTACTAATTTTACATAAATAATTTATTTTATTATAATTTAACTCACCGCGATTTTGTGATCAAATATTTTATTTTCTCCAACATTATTACAGAAATAATGCAATACAGAGTTTGTTCGCGATATGCTAGCCTAAGTCGATTCATCACTTAAAAAAATCCCCATCTATTCACAAAATACCTATTTACAACGCATACGTTACACTCTTCAAAACTTATCATTTCATTTCATATTTCTTAAATTACCTATACCTACCCTAAAATTAAACTTCAATTAACAAATACTACGCAGGTACCAATTCTATGAACAACTATAAACAATTCACCTAAACATTACGAGAAAACAAAAGCATTCAAAATAATACCTAATCTCCCGGCTGATTACTAATTATGCAATAAACAATCCTAAATAAAAAATATTTAAAAAACATGTAGTTTTTTGTAACACTTATGTACATATCCGTAGTAAACTTGCAAATAATATCCTACATATTTTAAAAGCCAGCACAATGTACTGGGTGATCGCTTTTTTGTAACCACCTAAACATGGTCGGGTTACCACGGTCTTGCACCTTCTAATGACTTTTATTTAATTATCTCGTAAATTATTATATGTACTACGCTGAAATTTTACAGGTAGACAACTGAACTAAACAACTAATTATTGGCATAACATTCAGTTTATATATCCACACACAGGTTTATCGGTGGCCAAAAAAGGCCGCACACATTGTGATCGTGAACGTGGAGAGCTACATTTCATCATAACTTTTTAGTCACTTACAGTATTCTTACGAAAATTCGTATACATTTGAAGGTAGTTACAAGCAATAGAATAACGTTTCAAGTAAGTCTTAAGAGGTCTTATTTAAAGTGTTAGGACGTATTTAAGTGTTTTCATACTTACCTAAATAATTTTTAAACGGTCCATTATTTTTGTTATTTTATTGTCGAACAAATTAAAACTAATCCTTAAGAAGTTATGTACAAAAGATGGTTACAATCCGCTTACCCGTTTCAGAGATCCAGCAAACCCACAAACGTTACTCCAGCAGGATTTCGAATAACTTCGCAACCGAAGAAAATACAAATACCAAATAAGTTGTAACATTTACCTAGTCCAGATAACTAATTATTTAGCTAAAATTTATTTCAATATTACAATTAAAAAAGAAAATGTCTGGCTGCGGTAACGTTTCAAACGTTACTCCAGCAGGAAATGTTTTTTTGAAATAACTAAAAAAGTTTAAGTGAAACAAATTTAAAAATGTGCTTAACAATTACAGAAGGGGAGCAACTAATTATCTATAAAGTTTAAATGACCATTTTCGACATTATTTTGCTGGGGTAACGCACACAGGCTACACGATGGCTGGAGCCTGTATGCCGTCTGTATGGACAGGTTGACTCAAAACTATGATCCTTTCCTCAAAAGGCCTATCCAGACCCTATACTGTACTCGCACAGTTTTAATTAACTTTGTTTACGGACTTAAAAAAAAAAAGACACCTCTGTGGTTTGTTTCGGTGTTTCTTCCCAGAGTGAGTCTTAGGAAATGCCGGCTCCTTCTAGCTATAAAGTCCGACTTGTAAAAATATCTGAAAAGATTTACTTACAGAAATAAATATCATTTCATTTCATTATAGGCTGAGTATGCTTTATTTATTATTTTACAACTTGTTTTATTAATGGACGACAGTGTAGCTAAATTGGTCAGATCTGTCTACCTTCAACAAAAATAATAAGTATCTCTCTTGTTAACCATTTCTTTATTTATTTTATTAAACTGAAATAATACTATATAATATTATGATATATGTCTGTAAAGTGTAAACTTGTGTTTGACCTTGTCTAGGTTTTTGATGTTAAAATTGTATGCAATAGACCATATGGTCGAAGATGCTTGCTGTATTTTCAAATTGTATGTATTATCTCATTTTTAGAATATTATGTTTAATTTGTGTTTAGATTAAGCGACAAATTTTGTGATTAATTATCATTACATACACGCCACGTCAGAGGCCTGTGGGATTCCCAGAGGCGACTTAATAAGCTCTGACACTAGAGGGTGGCCACAACACACGCAAAAAAATTACATACACATACTTGTGAACACCTTTTGTCCCAAATGAATATATAATCCAAAAACACATTTATTCATGTAAAATTAGTATATAGTTGCTTATAATATGAATATCTGATAAATTATAATGAATATTATGCTAAATAAAAAAGTCAAATACTAATGTTTCTTTTATTACACTGTTCCATAAATATTGCTTTCAGCATTTTATGCACAAGTACAGTGTGTTTCTCGATAGTGATGTCGTTTAGATGTCAATTGTTTTTGCTGAGAAATAATTGACCATCTTGATGAACACTATCGAGAAACGCACTGTACTTGTGCATAAAATGCAATACAAAGTATCTGTTTTGAAATTCCCGCCCTAGCTTCTACTGTCTAGTTTTGGTGGGCGGAGCATAGATGGCGCCGGCCGGTAAGGAAAAATTTCCTCATAAAAATAGTATGGAGTCGTTATTCTTCCCCTTTAGGGGTATATATGTTCTGTGGTTACAGCATTTGACAACAATTGGTAATGGTTTTCTTCACAACATTACTAATAAAAATATGTTTTGAGCTAAAACAGCGATTATTAAAAATTGAATAATAGACATTCTTTGATGGCAGAACTGCATATCCTTGGACAGTTGCAGTGTGCTTCAAAATTTTATGATAAATCTTTTATATTTTGTCGATATTCATTTCAAGCCGGTACATAATATTTTCTTCTATTATGTAATTGTATAATTAAATAAATAACGTTGAAATACTTTCATATTGTGATATTTGTTTGAAGGACCAAATTGGACAATCGTCTCGGGCTGCCCAGAAGGGCAGACTGTGTCTGCTAAATTAGATTACGAAAAGACTGCTGTGTGGGCTCACCCTGTCGATATCCACTACGTAACAAAAGGAGTCCAAGGTATTTACTTTATAGCGTATACAAATAGTTTTTAACAGATTCAGTCTAAAGTGAAAGAGATTTTAGAACAGTTCCTACTGTTCTAAAATCAACAAGCCTTGCTAACTGAGGGTACTGTTGCATTTATTTCAAGTTATAAGTTGTGTTTCAAGAGGTACGTACATATCTCATTAGAAAATGCCATTTATCTAAGCTCCACAATTTTATGATGCCACAGTTTTATTTTCTTTACAGAAGTAGGGGCAAACAAGCAGATGTAATTATTAATTTAATATTTAGGTACTGATTCCTGTCCTGCATTTATGATATTATAGGTTGGCCGAAATTAATACTACAAGTGAGCTGTTTGGATACTATAGGACGTTCATGGATAATTGGATATGGTTGCTGCAATTTGCCTGCTGTTCCTGGCCCTCACACAATTCATGTTAATTGTTGGGTACCATCTGCTATTAAATTAACTGATAAAGTTCGGCAATATTTCGTTGGTGGGTCTCATCAACTAATACAAAGTGATATAGTTAATTTAGGACTGAATCGGTAAGTTTAAATAATATTACAATATAAATAATAGTCCATTAGCCCAAAACAGATTTACCCAATGGAACAGCCTGCAACTGATGTGCTCAAGCCTTTATAATACAACTCCCTGATGTGCCTCACCAATTAAAGTTTTACCTAAACCTACATTTTAGTTTTTCTCATTTCTGTAAGCTAAGCTCCATTCTTTGTTTCAGATCTAAGTTGAATACTCAATCAAAAGGCACAGTTCAGTTACAAATTAATTTAATCTTAAGAAATTTTAGTCAATTTGGGGTAGAATATAAGTGAAAACATGAGAGTAGTTACTTACCTGGGATTTACTGTCTTGTCAGTATTCATTCAATTTTGTGTTATGGATTTTATTCAAGAGAAAATAGAAATTAAAAAGAATCCCAAAAAAGTAAATAGTACTACCCAAAAGAGAATTGTAGAAGAGTTTCTTCTAAATATTACAAACAAACCTCATGCTCTTTACTACAGAACTATTACAAATAAGAATTTAGAAAAACCAGCTCCTATTAGAAATAAGCTTTCTGAGATGAACTACAGCAACTCCTCCGTGCCTACAGTGCCTTCGGGTACAACTGATATTTCCACAATTGTATTTGACGTCCTTTATGATGAGAGTACTTCCATAACTGAAACAGCTCAAACTACTGAAAGCTTTTATACTAGCACTGAGTTTGATAATATTACAGAAATAACTTTCTTTGAAGCAAGTAATAAGTCATCTCTCATACCAAATAATGTACCAAAAACTAATTATAAGAAATATTGTGGTTGTAATTTACTGGTAAGTTTTTATAGCTGTATAATATTACGAGTAGTATATTAATTATTATAATAGCATAATAGATTGTGAGGCTAGTCTGTTTGGTTGCTGTCTACATCCAGGAAAAAATATCTGAAACCAGTTAATTTCAGAATATCAATGTAATGCATTTATCACGTATTATATACTTAATAGGCGATAGGCTGATGATGATGATATCCTTAATCGGTCAGATTACATACGGTACGTTGCGATTCGTGAATATTTCAGTGCGGGCCAGTCGCAACGCCGAACGCAGTCACCGTGACAATCGAGTAGATGTGAAATAATCTCACAGTAGGCCCTCAGAGCGGGACAATCGCAAAGCCGAAAGTGGTCACCATCGAGTGCGAGTTGATGTGAAATAAACTCACACTAGGCCCTCTGTTCCGTTTAGCTTAGCTTCCTTCTCACTCCTGCTTAACAACATTGTTTGTGAAAGCTTGGGTATTAATAGGGCTTTAAGCTTTCCCGCTCCCGGTCATTGGCAAGTAGAGGAACCGGTGTGGTTTTTAGTCGGTAAAAGTCCGACAGACCTCTTAAATGAGCGAAGGACATTAATGAGGAACTCCCACCCCCTTAACAAAAAAAAGGGCTTTACCTAGGTGTACATTGTACATGTCATCCGAGCATAGTGCGCAACAGAAAAAAAATCGATCCTACTAAAACTGTTCAAAAGTACACATGCTACGATTGCGATTGTGTAAAGTTATTAGACGCTTTATGTCTTATTATAGGATAAACGTGTTTTATGTGGTTGTCATTAAATTTCAGTTCGAAGTCTGTGATATCAATTGTTGCTGCGATCCAGAATGTTCTAACGATGAATTAAAACAGTTTGAATGTGACAAAAACAATAACGATGACTTGTCTACGGATGGATGTGTTTCGCATTTGTTACATGGTGCCCTAAGATGGAGTAGTTCACTTAACAATTTATTTTGTGTAGTCAAAACTAATTTACCTGATAAAAGGAATATCCAAAAGGTACATACTTACATATTTTACAGAGTTACGTGTGAATAAGCAGGCTTTGTGATTTATTGAACTTAATTCTTTCCTTTATTTATTGTGGTATATCTGCAGTTTTTTTTAAACTTGTTTCTTAAACATAATTGTTTACATAGGTATTTAATTTTATAATTGTTTTATAGCCAAAGCTTGAACTAGCAAATCATCATAACAAATGGAAAGATGTCGACCAGCACCAAAAAACGTATGAATTTAAGAAACTGCTATATAAACAGACTGATCCTATTTGGCTGCTAAGGAATGGCACCCTTTATTACTTTGGTTAGTGTATTTGTGATAATGTCAAATATCAATTAATTTTTTTCTTAGTCTAGGTACTTTGACCATTTGGTTATTTTATTACAGATGTCCCTACACCAATGGTTAACAATTACTGCACTGACCGAGCTCCCATTGGATTCCTGTATGAAGAAAAGATTACATGTATAGTAAAGTTTAATGATCTAGAGATGTTTTATATTGGTAAAACGGAATCGTCAATGGTTATAAGTGCAACTGAAAGAACCATGAACAGTACTGTCCTGGTAAACGGCCTTATTAGTTATTTTTAGCAAGTATAAGAACAAATATAGGTGATATAAAATTAGAATACCTTTAATATATTAGGGATTAAGATGTAACAACACGCGATCAAATTTATGTCGGTTCTCACCTAACTCAGTACATCTTTACGTGCGTGATAGTTTCACGGCGGTAGTGTATGTCGTTGGGCTGATAATAAAGTGTCTAGCCTTGTTGGAGTGCAGAGTCTAATAAAAATTGTACTATCGTAACGCATTTTTTAAAAGTAAAGTGTTGAGATCTTGTTTCTTTTTATATAAGGGGCAAACGAGCACCCTGTTTACCAGATGGAGAGTGGCTATTGCCGCCCACGAACGCTAGCGACTCGGGAGTAAAATTTCCCGTTTCTTTCCAAAGTTTGAAGAAAATTTGTCACTATTTGTATTTCATGTTTTTTCTCAATAACACGGCAAAACTCGAAGAGTATAAATAAAACGGGATACATTGTTTTTTTTTCCAAGTACATTTCATGTTTTTTTTTTTCAAATACGTACTTAGTATATGTAAATTGGGTTAGGATTTAGGATATTTTTGCTTAACTTCTTTCCAAAATAATAGATGAGGCGCGGCCCCGGTCCCACTGCTGTACCTACATCTAGTTGTCAGTCGCATAAATAGTTTCATCAATTTACGTGCTAGATCCGTTAGTTTGTTCTGATAAAGGATTGATTTCGGAAGTACCGGCATCATTTAAAAAATTCAAGAAACAAATGAGAAATACTGTGTTTCCGAAAGACTGTTTTGAAATTGCTTATAAGAAAGATGCCACTTTAAACTATATTGAAAAAAACGGAGATTATTTTGTATTTAGTCTATTCATTTGACCGCGTATTTGCTCGATCTCAGGTTCCACAATTCCATATTTCGAACCCTTCAATGACAAAGACTATTTACTGGGTCACTTAAAGTGACCCAGTAAATAGCTAAGCTTGTCAAGATTATGAAAAAAAAAACATGTGACTGACGCGAAATTCCAAGCTAGAAGTGGTTTTTGGGCCAATGAAATAATTTGAGAATTGCTTACGGCAATGCTACCAGTCTTCTGGGAACGCTACCAGTAGGCGATGATGCGGAGGAATTTTTTGATGCTTGTATGTAGATAGTCTTAATGTTGTAAATATTCTAAGTTAATTTTATTTAATTTTCACTTTCTATTTGGCAACCAGTAAATGATTTACATTCTCGCGACACGTGGAAAGGATTTTGTCACTCTAAACAACTTTAATGTGTTGCCATTAGATTGTTGAGTATTCCACTATTATCTGCGCTAAAAGAAATTTGTAAATTTTTGGTCGAACGCATACAAAAGGTAGGAATCGCCTTCTTCCAGAGCGACTTAATAAACTTGTTTCAACATCATCATCATCAGCCTATCGCAGTCCACTGCTTTACATAGGCTTCTCTCACGCACGCCACTTAGATCCAATTTGGGCTTCTCGCATCCAGCTCCTGCCAGCCATCTTGCGCTAATCGTCACTCCACCCTTCTTTTTTTTCTGTGCGGAAATCTCTTAGGATGGTCTATGTCGGACCGATTTTTTTTTTTCGGCATTTCCGGCTACTCTGGAGTTAGTCGTTCCTTGATTAGTTGATATGTAACATTTTTATAGCTACGTATATATGTATATATATATTTCATATTAATTTTTAAAATAAATAGAACAAGACAAAACTTTGTATGTTATCTGAATTTTGTTACGATACCATTTTTTTTGTGGCAGAAAATCTTTTTTACTGTACCTACTAGTTCCCTACTATTTGTCAATTGTGGTAGGTAGTGAAAATGATTATAAATAAAAATGTATAGATTATTTAACTGTTTCAGAATTGTTCGAACTTACACTGCATCAATTGGACTATCCTCGCTTGTTATAATAACATTTGTAAGAATTACAATAAGACTTTGGATGCCCCTTCGTGTACAGAAAGTAACTGTACAAATGTGTCATTTAAAATTGATTATAACTTCTATTACTATGATTTTAAAATAACAAATGCTACTATAAAATTGCACATTCAAAAGGTTTTGTATAATGTACTTCCGTTGATGTCTCAAGAAATAACGGTAAAGTTCATTATGGCTAATAAATCCCTAGACTATGTGATCAAATTCAGTGGGAATCCAGGATACATCAACAATTTACAGTTAATAATTTCAAATGCGAAGAGCAATTTTACTGACAGGTATTTCAATAATACGCCTATCGGTAATTACTGGATCTTACCAGATAATCAGAATGGACTATGTATTTTGACGAATATGTCGGAGAACTTTATAAGATTTAACCTGAATAAGAGAACAAAGTGTCGTTACGTTTACACACATCAAATATCAAAGAAAAACGATACTAGTGCTTGTAAAGCTATTCAAGATGACATTAGTGCCTTGTTAGGACTAAACAGGGAAGTTTTAATAGCACCTTTTGGAAATCCGTACGCCGTCAAAGACGAGGATTGGATTAAAATGCAGACGAACATTCTAAGCCCCGTGTACGGAGAATACAGTAATCAGACATTTAAATTACATTGTTACAATCTAGTACACAGGGTTTCTTTTCTATTTGTGTTTGCCAGTGTTGATGAGAAAAATTTCGTAGGTCAGAATAAAATTCTGTCCGCAAAATACGAAGCTCTTCCAATAAACAGAAGCTTTAATGTTGAAGACATTTCGATGGTGCTTACAATTGATATTAATTTTATTGATGCTAGTACGCCGAACTTATATGTATACGCAAGCAGTCCATATTTATCCATCCATCTACCCAAAGACTTCTTTTTCCCATTCCCGCCAAATAGTGTTTCCCACTTGTCTAATTTGCACATTGTAGCCATCCTTTGTAATATAATAACTTTGTTCAAATAAAATAACTCATCAGTAATAACTAATAATTTTTATTTTGAAATAATTTAAATACTTTTGTTACTTCTATCACTTCTAACTTGGCATCCCCTTCAAGGACTTAACGATCTTGAATTTGTGATGGCCTGAAAATAAAACCCGTTTTAGGTTCAGTTAAATCGCATCATCCCCACATAGTTAAACAGTAAGAGAAAGGAGAGAGAATTTAATAAAACATGTTGTTATAAAGGAAAATTTTAATATAGCCGCATCACGGAAACGAGGTAAACTATCATAGTACATGACGTAAGGTACTAGAGCTATATTGGTATTTACAATATTTTTACATAATTTTATCTTCAAAGAATATTTTTATCTAATAAAATATAATAAAAAGCAAAAAGACAGTAGTAGTAGTAGTAGTAGACAACTGAAGCTGCTTATACACAATTCGACTGGAGCAATGGTGAGATGTGTCGCTACAAACCTATGCGACGTAAGTGTAGACTTTGCGGTCGTCCGGCGTGCGGGCGAGGTACTCTCGCTCAATGAGCCCTTCGATGCGCTTCTTGATAACCACTGGCGACGGCAGGAAGCGGGCGCGTAGCTGTTCCGTCACTTCGGCTACCAGGAGCGTGTGCTGCAGTTTACACAATCATTTATCAATTACGTGCGCTTCAAAAATAAACACTCGACTCACTCACACAACTCTTGTTATCAGTTACAAGTATATTACATCATACATGTACATACATTCGACAAAACTGTATTTAAGCACCTACTCTGACACAGACGTCATAACTGTTTTAGGCCCCCATCCACATTGGCAAACTGCGTTTCTTATTTTCCAATCTCTACAAAGTCAAATACAGTTTTAAGAGAGTTGTAGAGAATGGTATTAGGGTTTTCAGTTCACTTCATAAATATCGTCTTCGTTTTTCGTTTTAACAACGGAACCTGGCAAATCCCTTTTGCAAAGACAGAAAAATTATGATGATAAATACCAGATTCACTCTCGGACTAGAGCAGGCTCGATAAACAGCTGACTAAAAAATCGCCGTGAAAGGACATAATTTTCAAATAAATTAACAAGAAAGTTTTAGAAGTACATAAGAAGTATTTATGCTATCAAATTTTGATAAATAGCACAGTACAATGAAAATAGATCATTTACATATTTTAATTTACAAATTCTGGTAAGTTCTTAGGCAATTGTAAAACGAATACGAACGAAACAAATAACGAATGGTCGGTATAACAGCAATCTCCCTTTTTAATATCACATATAACGCGACCAGCCGCTTAACAGTAATCTGTAGGTTCGTAGTTTTTTTCTTTTTGTTAAGGATCGCCTACGGAAGGGTAAAACAAGTAATGATGTGAATCCTAGTTGATTTACTTACCGCCATTTTCTTCCTAGCTTTCATAATACGGACGATAGCAGCTTCAATTTCATGTTTACGATCTTCATCAACTTTGTTGCGTGTCTCGCGTCGCTCTGGTTCTGATTCACCTTTAGCTGCAACTGTCTGGATCTTAACTCTATAAATTAAATAAATCTGATTAGTGTTTTTAGTCACTAGTTGTCATAAACACCTTATAAAAAGCGACTGCAGCAAAGCCCAAATGAAACTGTTTGAACTTTTTGTAAGTACTTGGGTAGTAGTTATGTAGCTACTAATAACTACTAAACACATGATCCAATTTGAATATTGGTTGGATTTGTATTAATGGCGCCTCGAGTGTACATTAAAAAAAAATATAGTGAATGTATGCTATATACCTATGTAACTTAGATGTGAAGGCGTCATTCACGTAAAATTGATGAGAGGGTTCGATTTCTTTAGTCTTCGGCTGCTTGATGAGCACCCTCTGGGTCGGTTTACCCATGGCCAACGATTGGAGGGCTCGTACGAGGTCCTTCTCCGGAATGTCAGTCTCGTTAAGTATCTCCTAAAACAAATTTGTCAACATCGTATGCGCAGAGTGGCATGTTATAATTCAATAAAATTACGTTAACTAATCATTTATATCATTAATCATTTATATCATTAATCATTCATATCAATTAGAAATCTGTTAGATGTCCGAAAATGTTATTGTTAGAAATCTTGAGATAAAGTAATCAAATGCTATTCTATTATAACATTACATTAAGTCGTTTGTGTGCCTTCCGACAAAGTAATAATGTAGAGACGTTTTTACGTTATAGGGGCAAACCAGCAGATAGGTTACCTAATGGGTCCTCCACCAGAATCAGAGGGAGTGAGGGTGGTTTACTGCGAGGCCGTGGCATCAGTCCGGTCCGAACGGTGCCGAAGCATAAATATCCCACGGTAAAGTGACAGGGATTAATTAATTATGAGTAGGTAGTTCGAGTATTCGCGTACCTCATAGGTGAGCCGCTCGCGCTTGTTGAAGAGCAGCAGCACGCACATCTGGAAGGTGGAGACCTGTATGATGTGGCGGCGCGGCGCGGGCTGCGCGGGCGCGGGCGGCGAGCGCGGCGGCGACGTGGCGGCCGAGCGGAACGTCGCGTTCAGGTCCGCGCTGCCCAGCTGCGGCTGCAGCGACAGCTGCCGCCCCGAGTGCTTCGCCAGGTAAAAGCTGACACAGAACACACCGCCTATCAGTGACTAGGTGTTTCGACTTCAGGCCTCGAGTCTGCCCACAGCTACACCGGTACGATGACGATTCACACGATATAGATATTCTCTTCTATAATTTCTATTGTATTAATACTCTCGTCACTAGGTCAAATTATATTCGTCAAATTCGAAACCACAAGTATTAACAATAATTAGTTTTCAGTTATGTGTTTTTTTTTTTCATTACAAGTGAGTACCCCACCAAATAGATTTATATAATCATTTAAAACTTTAGTGAACGATCACCCTCAAAACATATTGCTGGAAGAAAGAGTAGCTTTAAATATGAAAATCGAAGCAACATGTAATATGTAACACCAACACAAAATGTCAGTTAAAAACATTTTTTTGAAAAAAAAAATAGTTTAATGTCGGTATTAACGGTATAAGGGTGCGATATGTATATAGACACATAACAACAAATAGCAATACATATACACAATTTTGGCGATCTGTATTTCGTAACAGACCATTACTAGCAGTTAAAAATAAAATATTGGGTAACACAACCATCACTGTAAAATGATAAAAAATTATAAGAACCTTGAACGCTTTTAGCTTCTTTTATCCTCAAATGTGCCATTTTATTAGTAAAAGTACTTAGTAAAAGTACATATTAAATACCTTCTAAACACCTCGAACGCATTTCGTGGTGCCGATGGTATATTGCATTTTGGGGTAGCGCTCTGTGTCGGCCAGAATCCAGTTGTTAATACACGCACTGACAAGTCGACTCCGTGAAGATTGATCTGCAAATTATTCATAACATAATTTACCCAAACTACATATTTAGCTGATCCAAGTAAAATGTAAGTGTTTATAAAATACCAATGAATTAACTAATTATTATAATTTATTCCATTTTTTTAAATACATTACTATTATATAAATAAAGATATCAGCACACTCACTCCAGATGACAGCACATGCTCTTTGAACTCTTCCATGATGGTGTTAGATACAGTCATGTCTTTAAACATTCCTTCAAGTTTAGATGTGAACTGACAGCCGCATTCAGTCTGCAATGGAATCTTTGTGTCAATGCCTATACATTACATCAATTCAGTTACACACTTCAATTCAGTACTGGTACAGAAACTCTCATAAAACCAACGGACTGAAATAGGCTTGTCATGACAGATGGTGATGTCATCACCATCAAGTGTGGTAAGATTTTTTTATGCTCTAGGAGCAATGGAGCAGATGGGTCACCTGACGGTACCGGTACCCGTGGACACCTGCAACTCTCCCCCTCTGAGTGAGGCTTGTGAGCCCAATCCGATGGCTGTCCCACGTTTAAGTCTAATTGTTACAGAAATACAATAATTATTAAGACGGTATAATTCTACTTCGCTAAACTGATAGAAGCTTCTACCGTGTTGATTACAATAGAAAACCTTACTTATGGCGTTACATGGGCAAAACACATAACTATGATTAACATGATTATTTATATTTTATATACATAGTGGTTTAAATTTGTAACTATATTAATTAAGATAAGAGTATTTAAAAATCATTATTAATCATTCGTTTACCTAAATGAATAATGTATGGTGATGGTGAATTTATTTTTATAGCTTAATTACGTTATACTCGAATCAAATGCTATCGTGCTTAAAGTCTTAATTATCTGCAAAATTCTTTACACACAACCTTTACAAATTATATATAAATAAATCTTGGAAGATCAGTTAATGATTTCGATTGCTTTGCCAAGACTTTAAGCAAGATTTTTTACAACAACACGGTCTACAGCGAATTCTTAAGACAACGGACACTTACGAAAATGTCCAAGCACTAATGGTAAAGAATTTTGCAGAAATATGAGGAAAAGATGGGAAGATTGAGCGGCGGTTCATTTAATCTGTTACTGAGCTTTCTATTTGCGAGACATCTCCGATTATACAATGAAAGTCTCGAGGTTCAACATCCTTAAGTAAACCTTCGGTCTGGGAACGGTCAGAAACCAAATTATACACCTAAGTAGTATAAGATTAAATAGTATATTAATATAAGTTTATTATTTTCCTCTCTTACCTTCAATTTTGAGATCATATTTTTCTCACTATCGTCAGATACAGATTTGTTGAGTAATAACCGCTTGGCTAAGTGCTGCTTATAATAACGTTCGAACACATCCTTCTCTTGTAAGAATCTAAACAGTACCATTGTTTTGTCCAACACCGCTTCGATTTCTTGTTCACTCATCTATGTGACAAAATGGAAGGACAGTGAATTTTGTGAGTGGGGTCAAAAATATAACTAACTGTGTACTAATGTAACTTGTGAACTTACCCCTTTCTCGCCCTTCTTCAATTTTCCGTCAATGAACAGTGATAAAAATTCGGGCGATTTACTGTTCAAATTAAGGAAATATTCGAAGTCCGATGCTATCATGTGTTTGAAAATTTTGTCATTGTTGAACGAATTTTGGAGAAAATGATCAAATCTGTCCTTTAAGTCCAGTAAATTCTAAAACAACAAGATTGTAATAATTGATTTTTGTGTAACTGAAAACGGCTCGATTTCCTCACTTATTTAGGATTACTGACAATGTCGAGTGCATGCGGATCCTGGAACCGAGTTATGGTCCCATCGTGGTTCCCTACCACAAGCAAGAAATGCGATACTTTTATTCCGCTTACCCATTACGAGAAATATCCGAAAACGTATGTATTAGTTAAAAAAAAATGGAGTATGAAAGTGTGAAGTGATCGCTTACAAAATGACAGTGGTACCTGCACGAAAGTGATGGCGTTAGTGTTGTGGTGCGTGTCGGTGACGAGCGCGCGGCCCTGCTCGCGCAGGTGCGCCGACACGGCGTCGGCTACGGTGCGCAGCCCCTCGGCCACGCGCGACAGCAGCTTGTACACGCACGCCAGCTCCAGCGTGCGCGTGTGCATCAGCATGTGCACCACTCCGGAGTTCTCCATCTGCACACCACACCACCTCATTCATGTACTTTGTTATTCACTATATATAGTATTACACTAATCACATCCACACATAGAATACATGTTATAAAAACGATGTGTTTTCTTAACATTCTTCGACTTTCACATAATAGAACTTAACTAATGACATGACAATAACAATCTCGTGTAAGATCGGATTACACAGTACACACGAATTCATTATATTTTATTATGCTGGGTGGACGTTTATAATACCTATAGTCTATTAAAAAAAAATCTTCCGCCTTTCACTGTGTGCTAATCAGTCTGACACTTATTTGATCAGTCAAAATATTCTGTTATATATGTATAGTCTGCACAATTCAGAGCAATCAATAAAAAAATCAACAAGGATGTAGGATTCTAGTATTTTTTTTCAATTTTACCAATGTGCCCAATACTTGTGTTCTAAATAATATTATCCATTGTGTTAAGGAAAAATTTTAGTAATATTACGTACAAAACAAGCATACTTATTCAGTAAGTCACAACTTGACTCATGGCACAGGAAAGTGTTACTGTTTTGATGGCAAACTGAATGCAGTATCGAAATGTGAATGAAGTAGCATAAATTTATACAAGAATGTAGTATGTAAAAATAAAATAACTTAATTCTGAACACTTACTTCGACAATAGTTTTCATATGTCTCTCAATGAGCTCATGCTCCAGCACCGACACAACGCGAGGTTCAGTGCTCTCGTCGAGGTAGTGGCGCGCTCGCTCCGCCTCCTCGGCGATACGAGCCTCCACACGGTTTATATACACTGCTGCGCTATTCTCCGCCAAAAACTTTTGAGATTCCATCTGATGGACACATTCTTTACTCACACACCATGACTATTGCATTTAATATAGGTTTTGGTCATGCAAACATTGTTAAACAAATTTTAAATACAGGTCACTAGGCATCTTCAACATAGTGCTCTATAGAAGTTTACAAATAACTTACCCTATAAAATTCTGAGGACTGGTGCAAGAATGGTTTCTCGAAGTCTTCTTCATAGACAGTGCGTGAATTGATTCCTAGAACCATGAGCATTTGACATGCATTGCGGATGGCCAGTCGGTCTACAACCTCGCCTCGGCGCTCGCGTGCCACAAGTTCCAGCAGTGTCTGTCTTAGGTGGTCACGGATGCACCCATAGCGAACCACCTTTGTTAAATTGAAATAAATGGTTACAAAAATTTATACAGCTTTTTATTAAGTTTTAGGATGAGAATATTTGAGAAGTTACCATATAAATAGGATGAGTATACATATATTTATTAGTATTTACATATTTCAATAAGTTGTAATGCCATGGCTTCACCTTTGAAACAAAATTTATTCTATGACCAAAATAACACAACTTCAGATCCAAGCATTGAAAAGTTTAAATTGGGAAGTTACTAGTGTTGTACTGTGGTACTAGTTACTGGGTAGTTGACAACTAAATAATTACAATGTTGTCATTACAATTAATTAGTTCTTACAGATTTATGGTGATGTACTCGAATAACATCTCTTAAATTCTTGAATTGTTATAATCACTTTGTGATAATTGATTGAAGATGTCTTACAATTTTCATTAAAATTATAATTTTTATAATGTAACTAACCTGATCTCTAAAAATAATGAGTCCGAGATTATAGACATTATCCACTTCGTTTTGTTGTACATACACTCTATCCATGTACATAAGTATATCCCGAATCATCACCATACTAGTTTGATGGTCTGTCCAAGCATTATTAAGTGTTTGAAGGAATCCATTGTGTAAAGAGTGCAATACATCTTCTCTGACCTGAAAGTAACATGACAAGTTAGCTATTGCCAAAGTTATAATGAATAACTTAAAACATTATTCAGACCTTTGTTTCAAGATGCTGAGTGACCACTTCCTTTAGTCCTGTGTAGAGCCTTTCACCATGCTTGTGAAGAACCATAGTATATGCATTGCGATAAAGCTCTTCAAAAGAAAGCCCAGAATTGTTTTTCTTTTGAATCTCCTGTATTGCATTTTTTAGCAAGCTCCATATACTTTCCACATACTTTTCATCCATAGTCATCTGCAATGAATAATTAAATTACAGTGGGTACCAAATATTCTGTGAATAATGGTGATAAGCCTGTTTTTGACCTACAAAAACTGTTCACTATGCTATACTGACCCAAGTATCTGGATACATTTGGTAATATGGTTCAGAGTAGTTCCACACTTGAAATTTCCTCGTCATCTTGATATGCTCAATAGCTTTTTGTATTAAACAAACATTGTTCAAAATAAAAGTAAAAGTTTAAAAACATTAAATACACAAAAAAATACTTATGTTTATCTTTTGATTGATTTTCACTCCTGTCATCAAAAATATAATTATGACATATTGGCTACAAAAATTTTTTGTTCTGTAAAATAAAATATTTTCTATTTTTAAATCAAACTGACAGCCTTCATAAATTTTCAGGGTTACCATATTCAATAGGTAATAGTAAACCTTTTTGTTTCTGTCATATGCAATTCTGCAGCATAATTAAACTGCAGTTTTGTATCAAAGAAATAGGTCAATGTTAAAGTTAACTACACTGAAGTTTGTCAACTAAAACTTAAATCCATAAAAAGGGGTTTTGCAACTATTCATACTTGTGAAAACTTTTATGAGTGCTCACAATAATATTAGATTTTAAAAATAAAATATAAGTATAAATATGCTTATGAAACAACTCTATAAGAAAATAATGAACTCATATATGTGGTACACATGTATGTGTGTTTAAATAATTATTTTTCACAACAAATGATAATCTAATATTACCTGTTTTTATTAAAATTGTCGAGCAGCATGGGGTTATTTTAGATGCACTGATGGAATGGGATATGGAGAATAAAATGTGTATAATCTTTAAACTTTTACTTCTTTAAAACTATCAAATATTTTTAAAATCTTTGTCAATAATCATTTATTAAAATACACATAAATAGGTCTAGGTCATTGTTTTAGTGTATGAATATTTTTAATCAATTTAAAACAACATAACAAACAACCACAAAAATAACAAAACAGTAGAAACTTACTGGGAAGGCTCTGATTCGCATCTTGCCTGGTTTGTCCTTCGGTAACGTATTCTTCATCATTGCGGCTACAATATATTGTATCAACGAAACACTACACAATTAAAGATTTGTTCACTGTTCATTTGTTGTCGCGATAACACATCGTTACTCTCATTTACACCTGCAAGAAGAGTTTAGTAAACATAGCAATTCAGAATAATGTATTCATTCAAACAAATCACGAGATCAGTAAAGAGCTTACATTCATAGCTAAATACGACTTGCATTAGTGACTAAAACGATAATAATATGTTGTTTTATAGTATTTTTTAGTAATTCATATAAAGTAGGTACATATTAAAAATAATAATTATACGATTCAGTCATATCTGTGAATACAATTTAATGACATTGACAGATAAAATAGTTTCTTTCTCTTTTTCTCTTGTGCTAAATGTCGTATACAATAGCGCCACCTCACGTTTCTACACTACGTTCTTTTTTGATTTCCTTTTCTCTGCAATGGCTATTATACAGATTGATGAAAAATATTTGCCAGAAATTTGTAAACTTACATGAAATGAGATAATCCACTGCTGGCTTGGTCAGAAATATTTCACTGTCACAATATTTAAAGTACATATATTTCTTCGTTTTATCATGCCTAGTAGTTCTTCAATTGTTTCAGCTTTCTGACGAAACCATAAACCAATTGCTTAATTTTTTTATTTGCATTTTGGTCCTCTGAATACGAACGTTTTTATCTCCTCGAGATATTGTCGATGGTGACCAATTTTAAGGTATGTACTACAAAATTCAATATTTACGTTTAGAGGATGCAAATTGACCGACCACATAACGTGTTTAGAAATAAAATTCAACTTAAATAGATTTGTGGTCTAAAATGAACTGTACTAGAATGTGTACCAAATGACAAACATGCGTGATAAACATTGGGATTTCCAAGTCTAATAAATGGAACTTAGCTAGTTTGGATTTAGAATTGATTAGGAATAAAGTAAAATTATAATAAATGTGCAGTGATGTGCAGCTAGAGTTTTTAGAACTATTTTTTTGTTTTAAATAAAGCTTTAAGTTCTTAAAGGTCTTAAATCCACGTTTATTTCCTTAATAACCCTGTTCATAATTTCGCTAGCATTTTCTTAGGGATTCTTCGATGCTTCGAGAGAAAATTGCATATGTCCTCCTCTTTCAGTATAAAGAGGAGGACATATGCAATTTTCTCAATATAGTAATATTAGCAGCGAAATAATAACAGAGATAGTTAAACACTTTTACACGAACTTTCTGTATTGGTCACCAGGTCAGATCAGCTTGTGACACTGCAATAAAATTGTTTCCAACCCAATCCGAGACATTATTTCCATTTTTACGAAACCGAAATCTTTAATTTCCAAAACCAAAATCATGACCTGATAGTTTTTAGTAGCACTAATTTTTTTAGTTTAGAACGATGAATCCTTCGCTTCGATCGTAGGATGAACCGCTCGTTTTACGAGACTTAATTTTGTTCCAATTATTTAAAAGGGAATGCGCTTGTTGTCTTATAAAAGAATGTAAGTAAAGGCATATTCTTTTCGAGTATATGCTATTGTGATCCTGGACTATCACATAAAAGATTAAGTAAACAAACTGAGGGTCATAGACAGACGAACATAGGCATGTTCGTCTGTCTATGACCCTCAGTTTGTTTCACACTTTCTCTTGGTTTTTACAAGGGGCTTTCAGAAATATCACTACCTGATGCAGAGATAACGAATGATCACTAAACAGATGGAAAACCATTATATTCAGAAAGAAATGAATGCTGCACAAGCTATCACATTCTAAACTTAACACCAAAGCCTTTCATCAGCTTATCTATTTTAGAATTTTTGCTTTATAGAGTATTATTATTATCTAAAGAGATTCCAAGTTAAACTTTTCTTTCTTTTTCTTTTAAAAAAAGACAACTCCCGCATTAGGAATATACATCCTGTGTCGCGGGGGACTTTACAAACATACGTGAAACGGACACAAAGAACACCCAGACTCAGAACAACAATTTGTGGATCACACAAAGTGTCGTTTGTTTTTGTTTTGAACCCACAACACTCGGCGTAGTAGGAAGCCGCTTAAACCGCTTAAACCACTCCGCCATCCATGCAGTCAACTTTTAATTTAGGGGTGATTTTCTTTTGATCCTTTAGACATATCAGTTACTTTCCTCTTTAATACTTACTTTATATTGGTATGTAAGGATAAATTAATGGTATTGGTGTACCATTTCATTAATTTACTTACGTTAAAGAGAACTACTTATTAGTCAGATAGCTAGAGCTAGACACAGCTAGAGAGTTCAAAGAAGTATTGAAGTAAATATTTTGTAAAATTTCTTTGAATATGCTTACTGGATAACACACCATCTATGTTTATGTACAAAGCTCGACATAGAAGCACAACCATCTGTCTTTTAGTTAAATCTTAATGCGATAGATGGCAATACGGTCTGTTAAAAATTTGGAAGCTCAAGGTAGCTTTCCGTAATATATATATGTATAAATCTATGTTATATTTTAGTATATTAAATATAATTTATTTATTTATTTACTTTAAAATATGGAAATACTAATACAAATATAAAAAGCTAAATGTTACTGTATAGCTACTAGAACACTGCACATATTTTTTTTTTTTCAATATATTTAATGCAAATCATAGGGGCTGATTATACTCTTCGGTTTTCTGTCTAATCTGTCGCACTGTGTGTATGTGGTCTATGGTGCCATATCCGCATCGAAACCCAGCTTACTCCATTAGTTGAAATTCGTCTAGTTTCGCGTGGGACGGTTTGTGATGACTCCAACACTCACTAAGGACTTGTATGTTTCCCTCTCTTTGGAAAAAAAACGCACGTCATACCTATTTACAAGAAAGGTTCCAAATCTAAAATAGATAATTACCTCCATCTTAAACTGTGTAGCCAAGGTTTTTGAAAAAAAAAAATTTTATAACTTTTACCCAGTTGTTAGTCTTGGCATTCCAGAATCTCCTCAGAATCTCTCAAAGAGGGCCGAGGATGAGCCCCTGCTTAGAGCCCTCCTTGAGAAGGTCGCATCCGACAAACCGACCACCTCTGACGTGAGGACTGAAGGTAGGGGTGCTGACCTCGAGGAGCTACGCTGCAGAGTCGGCAATCCCGTGGACCGGATTGAGGAGGCAATCGGCGTAGCCGATTGCTTACTTCAGACGTCCCGGGTAACCGGGGGTCCCGAACAAGAGGCCCTTATTACAGTCGTTCGCTCCATAGTCGAGGCGGGAAGACACCTCGTGGCCGAGAATAAGGCCCACGAAAGGGAGAAAGCCCGCCTCGAGGCGGATATCGCCAAAAGTTGTGCCCATTGCCCATCATTGGTACCGTTGGCGATGTCCGGCCGTATGGAGCCGGACTTAGTCCGACTCATGGCGGAGATGGAGGAGCGACTAATGAGGCGCATCTCTGCAGTAGAGAGCGCCCATTGTCGCCCACCTCTGGCCGGAAGCTGTTAAGCCGGGCTTAACAGCCCAGCCAGCAGCTAGGGTGGGTGGGCCATCATTAGCGCTCCAGAAGGCCAAAAAGGGGAAAGGAAAGAGGAAGGTGACCCCAATCCTAGCCCCAGTCTCAGCCCCGACTGACACCGCACAGCGCCCGATGGAGCGGGGCTGGACGGTAGCCGGGGATAGTAAAAAAAAAAGGCGGAAGACGCTGCCGTCGCGACGGGAGCGCCGAGGAGGCTCCGCGCCCCTCGCTCCTCGGCCGTTATTATAACTCTGACGGCGGAGGCAGCGTAGAGGGGCGTGGGGTCCGCCGAGGTCTTGGCGAAAGTCAAGGCCAACGTGGACCTCAAAGCCCTCGAGATACTGGGTGTCCGGTGTAAATTCACGGACGGGAGCCTGGCTCCTCGAGGACGCCGGCGCCACCAGTGCCCCCAAAGCCGACGCCCTAGCGGCCTAGTCACTGAATGCAGCTGATGTCCGAGTGTCATGGCCCACTAAATGTGCCGAAATCAGAATTACGCATCTGGACGATTCTGTCACGGCGGACGAGCTTAGACTTGCCATGGCGGAGACTGGAAGCTGCCCTCTGGACAGTGTGAAGGCCGTAGCAATACGCTTTGGCCCCGGTCGACAGGGGGCAGCGGTTGTCAGCTGCCCCATTGCGGCGGCCCAGAAGGTCTCCGATGGACGAAGCCTCCTGGTTGGAGGTTTCCTGAGGCCGCAGGCACGACTCCTACAGGCCCAACCGGCAACGTGCTTCCGGTGCCTGTCGGTGGGGCACGTGGGGGTGCACTGTAAGGCGGAGGTCACCATAGGTGACCTATGCTTCCACTGTGGCCGCTGCTTATGAGAGCTGCTATGGAGCATACTACACCACAGATGGCTCCGCCTCTGGCGCTTGAGGTGCCTAATGTGGATGACGAAGACGTGCCTGAGGTCACTTGGGCAGACCTAAGGATGGCGGTGCTACGGCTTAAAGCTAAAAACAGCGCCCCGGAACCCGATTGCATCCCAGGCCGAGCGTGGGTCCTGGCCTTAGATGACGAGGCTTCTTGGAGGGTTCTTCAGCGCATGTCTCGAGCGGGGCCAGTTTCCGAAATTGTGGAAGACGGGGAAACTGGTCGTCATTCGAAAGGAGGGGCGCCCAGCGGACTCACCATCCGCCTACCGGCCCTATTATTGCTTAACGAGATGTGCAAACTCTTTGAAAGAGTGATTGCAAGGCGCCTCGTCAAGCATCTCGTCATAGTGGGGCCGGATTTGGCGGACAACCAGTACGGTTTCCGTCAGGGGCGCTCCACCTTAGATGCGATCATGCGCGTGAAGGCTCTGGCGGAGGAAGCAGTTTCCTGGGGCGAAGTGGTGTTGACGGTGTCCTTGGACATCGCCAACGCGTTCAACACTGTGCCCTGGAGTTGCATCAGGGAGGCGCTCATGTATCACAAAGTGCCTCTCTACTTCTGCCGCATAGTCGGGACATATCTGTCGGAGAGAGCCGTCGTCTACCCATGTAGGACCGGTCTTGGTAGACGTGAAATGTCGTGCGGTGTTCCGCAGGGGTCGGTGTTAGGGCCACTCTTGTGGAACATCGGCTACGACTGGGTGCTTCGCGGTGCCCTTTTAGATAGTGTCGCCGTCACGTGCTACGCGGACGACATGCTCGTCACAGCGTGCGGCAAGACGCACCATGAGGCAACCCTGAGGGCCACGGCCGCGGTTGCCCAAGGCGTTAAGCAAATCCGGCGGCTGGGTCTCGAGGTGGCTCTGCACAAATCCGAGGCCTTGTTCTTCCATGGGCTTCGGAGGAAGCCACCTGTTCTAGTCTCATAGTTGGAGGCACTCGCATCGGCCTCGAGACCTCGATTAGGTATCTGAGGCTCGTACTCGATGGCCGATGGGACTTCGGACATCATTTCCGAGGTCTGGTCCCCAAATTGATTGGGGCAGCGTGTGCATTGGCGCGGCTGCTGCCCAACACGTAGGGGAGTGAAGGGACCGACTTGGGTAACCGAGTGCCGGGCACGCCGTCATCGCGGCGGTAAGACCCGTTATGGAGGATTGGCTCGAGAGGCATCACGGGACCCTCTCATACCGACTGACGCAGGTGATCACTGGAAAAGGATCCTTCTGCGAGCAAGTTATGCTTGCGAAGGAGATGGCGGAGCGGGACCGGGAGTGGTTTAGAACTCTCCCGGCCCGCCAGGCTCGGCAACGGGCCAGGTACCGCAGACAACGGACGGAGGTCGCAGAACGACCGTCCTCCATAAGCGCAGGCCCGGGGGTGACAGGTGAGGCCATCTGTCACCCGAGCAGAAGCAGGCCGGGGTGACGGCGAGCGCGTTATGAAGCGCGCGCGCCCTTCCGGGAGCACAGAGGGAACATGGGGGTTCCCACACAGGGGGGGTCGTCTACCCGCCGTAGATGGCCCGAGGTACGTCGGGGCACCAGGGATTTCCTTTCTAGGGTACACCTGGTTCCCCGACTACTGGTACCTGAGACGGCGTGCGGATTTAGTCGGTTCGAGTCCTACATTACCACCGGTAAGTGGTATCCCGGTAAGAGGATTTCCGAACAGAAAAAAAAAGAAAAGGGGGAGGCAACCTCGAGGGACCCAATCGTATCCTATGTTCCACAGGAGTGGTCCGAGAACAGACCCCTGCGGAACACCGCACGACATGGGCCCACTCTCAAAGCACCATTTCGGTCCTCGTACATGACGGTACGCTCCTCTAAGTAATCTGCCACCAGCCGCCTCAGTTATTCTGGCACCCATGATAGTGGAGTGTTTCCCTGATGCAAATGATTGGCAGACTATTGAATGCGTTGGCGATGTCCAACGACACCGCCAACAGCACGCCGCCACGGCTTACCGCCTCTTCGGTCACGCTCCTGAGGCGTAACACAGCACGCACGAAATCAGAATTGAGCGTCCGATAGATCAGGGCCCACCCCGCAGAGGAACATCATCCACGTTCTCCCCGCCGTCTCCAGACGAGAAGGCCATCTGCAGGGGTGGAGGCTCCGCCCGTTGCGGGAAGCTGGGCTGGAGAGTTTCCGTAAGGGGAAGGGGCCCGAATCGCGGAGCTTTTGTCGCACCGCACGATAAGAGCGACCTCAGGGGTCACGATCGAGACCGAAGAAGAAGTGAAAAGAAAGGAGATTCCAGCATCTCCTTTCTTTTCACTTCTTTGGCCGGGCTAAAGGCCAGCTTCAGAGTTTGCCGCGCCTCTCGGTACTCCTCATGAAAGCTTCTCCTCTTCACTCTCACCGCGGTGACTCCGCCGACTGCGGGTGTAGGACTTTCGGGCACGAGTATAGGCTGCGCGGAGGCCGCGCCAACTCCTGGCACCACCAGTAGACCTCCTTCCTTCGAGGTCGACGACTCAGATGCGGGGTATGGCCGCATTGCAAATCTGCGTAATCGCATAATGGAAGCGACTAGCCCCCATATCGACCTCCTCAGTGGGTGCCTCAGCAGACAGTCAAAAATGGCTGCCTCCTCTAGTAGGTCTCTGTTTAGTATCGCAACAGCCCACCGCGGAAAACGTAAAGAACGCCACGCCACGTGACCCCTACTGGGGTCTTGGGACGGGAGAGCTCAAATCGGAAATAAAGGTGATCCGAGAGCGTCTCAACCTCTTTCAGAACACGCCAGTTCCTTACTCGTGCGGCGAGGGCAGGAGTAGCGAACGAAAGGTCCACTATTGACTCCCCCCCTGCTGTCGCACGCACGTGTTGGTGGAGTCTCTGTTTAGAAGACAAAGGCCCACCGAGGCCACCCACTCCTCTAAGGGCCTCGCCCCTTGCGTCCGTCCTGGGCGAACCCCAAGCAATGGATTTTGCGTTGAAGACCCCCAGTACAAGGACGTGCCCAGACGCTAACCGCCGCATCGAGGTCTCCAAGTTGTTGGATTAAAACAGACTAACAAATCTCGTCCGTGACGCCGTCTCTCGGAGCTCACTGAAACGTCAGAAAATCCAGCTGTCAAACTAAAAACTCGTCGATAATTAACTTTTCTGTAATGGTGCGAAATGCACCGTTACAGTACTTGCTTTGTTTTACATCTTCCTTTATTTTATTTTGTTGTGTTTATAATTATTTTCTCTCCGTTTTTCCATATCTATCTGAAATAGGTTTAAAAAAAGTCACGATTTGAATGATTAGTACTCATTCAAATCGTGACTTATTTGTGTTTATATTAATTTGTAAAAATATACAAATTAAAACTCACATACCTAGTTCCTCTAAATTTTGCTCACAGAATATATATATAAATTGGCAGTAGTGAGAGTCCGACTTTATGCTTGACTAAAGAATGGATTTGGAACTACGAACAGATGTGCTGTCGCCTTGAATATTCGAATGGCGCTGAAGTTCTTGTGTGCGTATACTTTAATTTATTGCACATTACGGGAGACAATTTCTACGTACTAAAATGTATGAACAACGGGATCTTTTTTCTTTAAAAAATGAATTACTTATATTTAAGCTTAGATTATGGCCTTTTTGGTCCGAATTAGTAAAGAAATTTAACGGTGATTGTATTATCTATACTTCTTTCTCACGAATTAAAAATAACTATTTTCAAATAGAACAACGAAATAGTGATATTCAAAATAGCAAAGGTCGATTTCAATGATTTCGATCAATGTTGAGAATTTATTTTTCTAGAAAATAAAGAATTATTTTATAAGTTTCACATGATAAAAATGTAGTCTCATCTATTAAGCAACTGAGATGTTTTTTTAGTGTAACTTAATGAAGTGAGTTCTTTAACAACATTCACGACAACTAAGACCAATTGACCAGTCAGTAAATATCGGTGACCACCGGTGAGAAGAAAAGTTTGGATATTATATAATATTTGAATAGAAATGTGTCTGTGAAATTTAATCATACAATCGTAACTTAAGTTGGGAAGTTGTCAAATTTTAACCAAATACCAGTCATATACAGTTAAAAAACAAAATAATGTCAGTTCCGTAAGTCAGGTCATAATTATAGGCAACAACTCTATCCGGCTGTAGACTAGAATCTCCATCGGCAAATAAACAAGTTTTTATAACGGTTTTCAATTCGGAGAAGTTAAAAAGACCTGGAAATTAAGACTGACCGTATACGTAAAGCTGAAATGCAGTTGCATGCATGCATGTTGCTACAGCTACACGTTTTAATTTTCTTAAGAAGATAAGTGAATTGTACCCAAATACTCATGTCAGCCAGGATCACTACCTACCAATCTTGTTGATCTACGTGTAGAGTGCAGCAATGATGAAAACGTGAGATTAGACTCAAATGTTCAAACTTGCATGAGGGAAATCGATATTTCAAAACTTACTAAGCATTTCACAGTGATGATGATATGAAACTGTATATTAATGTATCCTGGTCTTCCTGAATAGAATCCCCTCATCAACACTTCCTTGCTCTAGACGTGCGCCTGATTTTATTAGAAGGCTAGACTTAGCTATTAGAAGAGCATGTAAGCTGATCAACCATCTGGTAATTACAACTATAGCATATTTAAGATAGCAATCAAACGAAAACAAAAAAGAGTAAATAGTTTAAAATAAATCTTTATTATCGAAAAAAATTGTCAGCCTACAAACATTTTATAAATATTTGTAATAAGGTTATAGTTAAATAAAATCTGTGTCTTCACTGCAACTTCAATAATAATTTAATACAATCTTTGGATATTTATAATTAACATTCAGATTTAGATGTTTTTGACATAAAATAGTTGTTTTCTAGAAAAATGGCTTGTAACTATAACAATGTCTTCATATTTTGTGACCATCTTGTGCGTCGTCGTCTACACAACCATCTTCTTAAGACAGTGCTCTACCTAGGCTTAATACGAAACTGCACTAAAGTTTTGTTTTATGTTTCGGAATTTCAATGTACATGTACAAAAAAATTACTACACCTATATAATCGGTAGGTGTCTTGTATTTTCTTATTTATTCTTAAATATACTATTTAGAAAGAAAGAAAGAAAGGTAAACATTATAAGTAATATGTAGCTATAATAGAATTCATAAACATAAAGAATATTAAGATAATACTTCAATTGTTATATATTTAGATATTCATTAATCTTACACTTTAAAGTAAGGCTAAGGGTGATAGAAATATATAAAATACTTAGAAATATTAATTAGATACACTATTTTGTATACAAGTGTTTTCTAGACTAAAAGTCTAAGTTTACACTTAGCATAGTATCAAATCTTTGAATAATAATTATCTAAACAACCAACATTTTAGCTAAAGTCTATCTACCAACATTTTAGCTAAAGTAATTCTAATCGTCTGCCATAGTTACGTCACAGATTGTTACTACAACATGTATTGAAGTCTATCTAACTCTATTCATTATTATCCATATAAGCGGGGTGGGCCTGTAGCACCCATCGAAACATCATGAGACTGATACAAGCACACACGAAGAGGCCAATCACCAATTGTAGATTTTTCTCCGACCGTGGATCTCGCTCACTGGTTCGTAATCGATGAACCAATCCATTCTGCAAAAAAGATACATGAAACCTATATTTTGTATTGTTTTACTTTTTTTTAAATGTAAATGGGTCAAGATGAGCAGACGGGTCACCTGATGGAAAGTGACTACCGCCTCCCATGACCGCCTGCAACTCGGGATTCTCAAACGCGTTGTAGGCCTTTTAGGAAGGTGCACGCTCTTTTCTTAAAGGTTTGAAGTTCGTATCGGTCTAGAAATACCGGAGACGATAACTTAATAATTAAACCAATGAAAGAGGTTAGATAGTATAGTAGTAGAAATTAAATTTCAAATGTACTTTTCAAACATAACAAAAACTCCTACATAAATTACAAAATTCTGCCGCACTTAATTATATCTTTATTTATATGCATATGCCATAGAGCAACGGGTCCGCCGGCGGCCTGTGTTGCTACTTGCTAATTTAGCTATTTTTTTAATGTTATAGGGAGTAAACTAGAAGACGGGACACCTGATCGTAAGTGACTCCTGCCACCTACAAATAACCCTGTGAGTGTCTCCCTCCATTTTTAGAGGGAGGAGGACCTCAATCACCCGATAAAAACAACGAAAGAATTGCTTAACGTCGGTTTTCTGTGAGGCCGTGGTCTCACTCCGATCCTAGCCCATTACTGCCGAAACATGGTTCTCCCACGGTATCTATCTTCTCTATATTCTCAGTAATATATTCCTTTTATGAATGATGATTCTTCAACCTAATTAGTTGTTCGAGTTTGTCGACACCATAACTCTATTTTTATTTTTTTATTGGCCCCAATTTATTATTGGCATCAACTTTTTCAGCTCGTAACACGTAAGGTTCAGGTTGAAATTAATTTAGTTGTTTGTGTTTGTCTCGAATTAGTGAAGTAGATGTTCATAAAACTTTTCTCTTTGTTTTAGATACATCTACATGAACAATATTTACCTGTTCTCAATATGACGGTATTTTTTGTGTATAAAATATGTAATAATATTACATATTTTATAACAGATTGTACAACAAACAACATACATACATACATAACAACAACAACAACATATAAACAAATTTGAACAAACCCCCTTTCTGAGGATAGACCCATATCCTTACTGGAGATGGGCCTAGACTAGATTTAAGGCTGTTGATGTGTGTGTGATAAACAGATTTCAATAATTATTTATTACTGTAAAGTATACTCGTTCAGTAAATGTTTAAAGAAAAGAAAATTCCAAATATATTTCAACTTCCTAGGAGTTAAAACGGTCAAAATATGTGTTAAAAGTAGCTACTGTCATGATTAGACAAAAGTCGTTTTTATTATTAAAAAAAATGTTATATATTAATAAATATAAGTATATTATAACATTTCACGTCTCACACACGTCAGTCTGTTTCGAAACTAGAAACAATCGAACCTCCGACCTCCGGTTTAGCAGTCAGGGTCACTAACCACATGACCAACAGGCCTGTCGTAAGAATGTCGATGTCTCCTACAATTTTGTTTTGTCACTTAATTGAGCCGTAGCTAGGTACCACTTTTTATGCCGAATGGATAAACTGATTAACTTTGAGAGTACTTTTTCGTACCATGACATTATAAAAACCATAGTCATTGAATTAATTCGAGCCCTTTTCCTGTCATTGTTCCGGAGTGATTTTGTACGGAAAAAGAAGCATTAACAAAAACCAAATCGTCGTTGCCGTTCATAGGAATAGGTCATTGAACTGTGACACGAAATAATAGGTTTTGTGTTGGTAAGTACAATTTGTGTAATTGGACAAAAATAAGTGTTCTCTCGCTTGCGATGCGTCAAAATTAGGAACTTGCTGACAAACATACTCGTACTTCACTTATATTTATTTAATAAAATAGATAAAACTAGAAACATATATGCACTTGTTCAGCTTTTATACGACATGTAATAAAAGATTATCGAGCCAAAGAATTGTACGAGCAAACCCGCACATTTGTAGTAGTTAACGAAATTAGCTTGCGTTCACTCATTTGTATTGCACTCGTAGTAAAGTAAGTGCCTATGCACTTACTTTACATACATAATTTTTGTACATAATTTAGTAGCAATAAAATCATCATTCGGTAAACTTGTCTACTCATTTATCAAACCAGCAATCTATCAGTAATGTTAGGGAAACTACCCCTACATCATTAACAGCCTTTAATAGTCCACTGCTGGACATAATCCTCTCCTTAGAAAGGAGGTTTTGGCCAACTATACCACGCTAGCAAGACGGGTTGGTATAGGGTTTGTGTCAAGTTTTCCTTCTCTCTGTAGTGCTGTTGTTCTGCGTAGTTTTCTCCCTTAGTCGGCTCATACGACACCCACGGGATGAATAGAGGTGGTGACACTCTGTATTCTTATTCCGTCACCACACACGGAGCCAAAGAATAAAATTTAAAAAAAAAAATTACCCATCCTCCGTGAGACGTAATCCAAGACCCAGCTTCTTCGTGTAGGAGATCAGCAATGGCAGCAGCAGGCGCGGTCACCAGCTCCAAGGCTGGTTCACCCTCTGCCGCTTCAGCAGCCTCTTTTGCAAGGGCTCCGCAAACACAGTACACGGCCGCGATCTACAAAAATTTACACTAAAATTGAAATCCAACTTTGGAAATTTTGTAATTATGTTTTTTAAATTTAATATGTTTTTTTAATATAGGGTAAAAATTTATTGGATTCTAACCCACTAAGACGTGCCGCGGTTCCTTGTATACGACAGCTTTTGCAGCTATTTCTAACTCTACTTTCTGGAATAAGTTAAAATCTAGAAAGTTATCTAACCCTTGGCAGCTGTAATCTAAGAAGTTCCAGATAACTATTGTTAAACTTTCGTTCGTTCGTCGAAAGCCAAACAGTTGCGTCTTTGTCAAGGATACAAATCACTATCTCGAATGAAGATACAGATAAACACTCAATCCGTCTTGTTTTTACTTTGTTAATGGTCGTGTACTTTTATTTAATACGAGTACTTAGATAATATACTAGATGAAGTTCATTAAATGGTAATGAAAAATTAGTACTACCAGGTACCAATTCACTTAATATTATGATAACAGGTTATTATTTTATTAATTTTAAATTTATTTATGACAGCTTTTTAATTTATTTTCTTAGAAGCAAATCGCAAATTTGTTAGGAAAATGAAGAACTGTCCGTTGTTTTAATAAATATTAAGGGAAAGTGTCTGACCGTGACTCCACTATATTTTCATTAGTATTTACCCAATAAGTTGTAATTATTTAATTAAATATGTTTACTTCATTATTCAAGATAATATTCATTTTTGAAGTGAGCGCGCTCTTTTGTTAGAATGTCGACCGAAATGTATTTTACAATTAGTAATTGTATGTTTTTATCGATTAACTCATCAACATGTTTTAAAGGTAACATAAAACTTAAACAGTCGTAAAAACTTAGACTCACCAGACACAGTCCTCCTTCAATGACTTCCAAAAAGCTCTGTTTTAATTTCCGTCAGGCTGATGTTTAAGATTTTAGACCTGTCCACTTGCTTCTTATTTTGTGGAAAAAGACGTACGTCGATAAAAAAAAACATGATGTTTGAGGGTTTCAGGGTCATGTTAGTAAAGGATTATCTAGAATCGTTTCGTTAATTCATGAAATATTGTACTTTTAAGATCATCAGTATTGATATTCACATAGAAATTTATCGATAATTTCTCTAATTTAACCCTTCTCAGGCTAATATTTCTGCCGTCCAATGCTTCTTATTAAGTCCGTCAAAGTGATTGTGAAAGAGAAGTGTTTAAAGATTTGATAAAAAATGATTTCTTGGTAATCCAACTAATTCACATTACATGAGATATTTTCATTTTTAGCGATTAGAAAGTTTAAATTTGTATGTTTAATGAAATCTTTCTGATCTGTTGTTGAAATAGTATCATCATGGTCATTATTTTCCTGCCACTTTCCCAATTATATCTGTAGTTCGCGCACTGTGTTACATTGCAAAAGAATATTTGCGGTCTTTTTATTGCTGACAACCTAACTAACACTACATAGGAATGTAATCGTTTCTAGACGGGACCAACGAAGGTAATTTGGGGTAAGAGAAACGTATAGGGCAAGAGAGCCTCGGCTACCGACAGTATATTATAATAAAGTCCTAAAATAGTCCTTTGTGGCGTGTGGGCACATCGATCCGTTATAATTTTGAGACGAATTCTAGTAGTTACGCTGGTATCGTTTTGGGGGCCGGTATGACAGCGCACGGTTATCAGAGTTGCAGTGAATAACTGGACTGGTGACCATAGTTCAGTAAATGTGTGTACGCTACTTCGGCGCTGTTATCTCATTCTCAGCAACGATAACTCGGTAGCGATAGACAAACGTCTTAACGCATGTAATTTTAAGGTTTTTAGGATCTTCATTCAACTCTATCATTGTTCAGGTAGTTAAGGTAACATTTCATTTATGAATAAAGCCATGTCATAAAAGAAAAAATGTATATGCTTTATACATATAACTTAAGTGTCAATAATTTATGATTATTATCGTAGTTTATAAGTTAAAAAACAAAACAAATGTTGTTGAACAATAAAGTTTATTCTATTCTATAATATATTTGTTCGTAGTTTTGTATTAATAACAGTCGCATAATAATAACAGTCAGGCAGTTAATAACGGTTTTTGTTACAGCCGTTCTTGTTTAATCATCCACGTTAGGTCTTTCGACCTTACAAAGGGATTCAATATAATTGCATTACAGTTAATTCTGATCAAAGACAACGTGAATACCGAGAATTTATTTAATGAAATATATATTTATTTATTTAATTTAAATGATTTATCTTAATTTGAGATCTATCTTAAAGAGTTTCTTTGTTTGATTAATCTCAGGAAGTACTGGTTCAAATTGAAAATTTATTGTAGTGTTGGATAATCCATTTATTGAGAAGAGTATAGACTATAATATCACGCTAAGTCCGATAGGAGACGTTTATCAATAACAAAAAAACGAGTGTGCTTAAGACTACACGACTGAAGTAAAACTTCTTGGCTATGAGAGAAAGAAAATGTATGCTCGTACCTTTCTCTCTTGCTCCTACAGTAATATAAGAAACGTAACTCTCTCTCTTTCTATCTTCACTAACTTATATCTCCTTCCCAACTTCCGTTCGCCTCGGCCGATCAAACTTTTCGTAACGCTCTCGGCACGCACTCACCAGCTTACTCCCTAAGTCAAGCGTGCGTAAAAAAGTTTTACTTCAAAATGTTGCAGAAACGGGGAAAATTTATTTCTTTTGAGAGACAGACAAAGTTCGACGGGTCAGATAGTCTTTGATTAAATGATGTAATACAGTTATTACCTTACACCAAGTTATGTTATCTCTAGTGATCCGTCGTCCTAATGCGAGGGAAAGCTCTGCAAGGGCAGTGTCTGATTTTAACATAGCAGAGGGTGCTCGTGTGGCTTGCCTCGCCACCTGCCTGAACGCATTAGGTTTTTTCCTTTCTAAAGCTGCACATAAAGACCGTAACGCCGCTAGTACTCCAGCTTCTGTGTTGGTAGCGGCTTCTTCTCCACATTCAGTCTCCACCATTCGTTGTAATCGTTTCAGTACTATTTGCTGTAAGAATATACACATATACACGTAATTATGACATATACACACCAATATAGACACCGGCAACAACCTTAGGTTTGGCTGCAGCATCAGGTTAAGGTTACCATAACATGGCAATACCACTATAATATCAGTGCACTAAATGTCAAATCAATCGGTGTTGTGTACGAACACAACTCCGATTGATTTGAGCTATTTGACTTCATCGACTAAGAAAGGTGATTGATGAAGTTGATGATATTCACAAACCATAGCTAAAAACTTATCAAAACACGTCAAACGTATAACACGAGGGGTGTTATAAGCGGGAATGTTATAAGGGGAGTTCCGCAAAGGAAAAAAAAAGAAAAAATGGTGTTATAAGTTTGGCGTGATATAAGTGTATTCGCGGTGGGGGTTTCAAATGATATAATATATAATATATGTGAAAAGAGGATACCTTTTTTTGACACAAATTGGATCTTCTAATTTGTGTTTTTATGTATTGTAGGCAAAGGGCGCGTCCCTCTCGGACTATATGTGGCTTGACTTGCGTCTGACCGGTAAGGCACCATCCGATAGTGGCTGAGAGGCGGCGGGATAAAGCTGAGGCCGCGGTACTAGACACCATTGTGCTGAAGCGCCGCTTTGTACGATCGAAAGTTGACATAGACCTAGATGGAGGCGCGCGGTGATCTGTCAATTATAATAATAATAACAATTCTATACAGCTTAAGCAATAATAACTTCACAATTCTCACACGCGGCTGTCAGATCCCAAATTAGGCAAAACTTTTATTATGGTAACCAGACTAGTCATAAATACATACATATTATGGATAAATTTCACCCAGACCAAATGATCGCGCTCATCACACAATCATTTGTCCTGGGAATGGTGAGAATCGAACTCACGATTTCTGGCTTATATGTCGGGGTCCCTAAACCCTACATCCAACCACCACACTCCACCTGGGATATTACAATTTTAATTTAGACTCTTAAGATTTAAACTAAGTTGCACGTTATACAATACATCAATCGCATCAGAGCGATTTCAGGAGTCAACACTATAGCTCATTTTAACCTAAAGACTTATGTTGTACCTACTAGCTGACCCGCGCAACTTCGTCTTCGTCTATCAAAAGGAAAACATTTTTCCGTTTTGGAGACATTTTTCCTTCCTGGATAAATGGGCTATCCAACTTTAAATCAACTTTCCATATTTTTCTTTAATACATTTTAATTCGAACCGATACTTAGTAAGTTAGCGAGAGTAGTCGACTGCACGGATGGCGTAGTGGTTGAGGCGGTCGCCACGCCGCTTTCTTACTACGCTGATCCTACTTTGTGTGATCCTCAAATTGTCGTTCTGTGTCTGGGTGTTCTTTGTGTCCGTTTCATGTATGTTTCTAAAGTACAGGATATATTTCTAGTGCGGGATTTGTCTTTAAAAGAAAAACCGTTATTAGTTTCAGATGGTGAACCCATCTGAAACTAATAACGGTTTTTTTTTTGTAGAAATAGGAACTCTAAACTATGGGCTGCTGTATTAGGTTTCCCAAAAACTTAAATTAAGACTTGCAAAAGGTATAACTTAATAGCTACCGTTGAACGTTATCAAAGATTAAGTTTCTTTGCGAATATACTGAGTAAGAAATTACAAACATGTTAACCTCAAAGTACTTGCTAAAATTAATATCGGTATAAGTACCTACTTCGGTAAAAGCAACTTCTTTGAATTTGTTTATTCAATATTGTATTACCTGAGAAATTTCATTCTGTCTTCTAATATTTATATATTCTTTCTTGTAAGTGAACGTCTAAGTATAGGGGAGTATACATACGGGCACGCCGAGTATACATACGATTGGCTCAAGGGGCATCACGGAACCCTCTCATACCGGCAGACGCAGGTGCTCACCTGAAAGTATGCTTCGGAGATCATCTGTATCTGATCCGCAAGGAGCCAACGCCTGAGTGCCAACCACTGCAACGGCCGGACCGTCTACACGGCGCTCCACACGCTGGCAGAATGCCCGGCATGGGTGGAGCAAAGGCATAGCCTCGTAGCGGCCGTCGGCTCGTCGCATGATTGCGGTCTCCTTCTGCGAGCAGGTAATGCTTGCGAAGGAGATGGCGGAGCGGGACCGGGAGAGGCTCAGAACTCTCCCGGCCCGACAGGCCCGAGAACGGGCCAGGTACCACAGACGGCTCAGGCGCCGGAGGTCGCTTAACGTCTGCCGTCCTCCATAAGCGCAGACCTGAGGGGTAATCTATAAGCCGTAGATGGCCCGAGGTACGTCGGGGTACCAGGGCTTTCCTCTCTAGGGTATACCTGGTTCCCCGGCTACAGGTACCTGGAGACGGCGTGCGGTTTTTGGTCGGTTCGAGTCCGACATAATCACCCACTGGTGGGTGGTATTCAAGAGGAGATCCGCACAGAAAGGAGAGCATAAATATGAAAGATAATGAATTAAAAACTGTAATTCATCATGCTAAAGGCCTTATTCAGTTCAAAATCCCACAATGTCTAATTGTAGAAACTAAATTTGAATTCAATTATTTACTTCATTGAAAGCTTGATGAGTATTGGCTTCAGATATAATAAGACGTATACTGTAAAGGGTTACACCACAAATAAGGTTAGTCAGCCATTTTCTGCCCTTACTTGAGACGCACCTAAGCGTAAAGCTTGTGGCAATCATGTAGGCTCAACTGCGTCAAAGACGCCGTCATTTTTGCCTGTTCTTATCCATAGGATCTGCGTATTGAAATGACTGAATGACTCATGCTATTGACAAAAAAATCTCTTAATTGATTTAATTAAGATCAAATATTTTTATTTATATTTAAGCACTAATAGCACTACACGGTGTCACCCTGGTATAATTTACAAGAAAGGTAGCCGTTTTGTAATTATTTCTTAATTCGTGGTTTTCACTTTGAAAATGATTAACTTCCTACAATCGTTTATCCCTTATTAAATCACTTATAGAGGTAGATTCGTAAAGTAATACTGAAGTTCGAATCGATAAGTAAAAAAAAAAAGTTGCCCATGCAAACATGCACCCTTTTTTTAGAGTACTTTTAAAAATTAGTAACAAAGTTTAATAAAGATTATTTACTGTGAGATTGAAAACGCAACTACCATAAATAACGAAATTTCATATTAATTTCCAACCCCTATTTTGCACCCTTAGGGGTGAAGTTTTTAAAAATTCTTTCGTAATGCACACCAACGTCACCTAGAGAAAATTGTGCAAAATTTCATGCTTCTAGCCCCAGAAGTGAAAGCTGTGCGTTGATCAATCAGTCTGACAGTTTTTATATATAAGATGTTACTGATGATTTGAAATGTATGGAAAGTATTTTTGGCAAATGTTTCTCGTGTCCTTATAAAGATATTATTGTAAAGAAAGCGAAATTGTTGTAAGAACGCTGGGTTTTCTTATTTGAAAAATATCAAATCATTCCACCCTCCTGAGACTAAAGCTGTATTACTGTATAATTTATTATAGCCTCGTAAGAAGCACACTTGACGCTCTCACTATGCTACACATAGCCTAACAATTGAACGAATTCAAAAGCGATTCTACTTGAACTATATCTTATCTTACTTTGTATACTAAGCAGTCCACCAGGTAGTGCGCTAAGAGGCGTGCTGAGCTTCCTACGCAAGCGCAGTGCTGGAATGAAGTCGTCGTCTTCTTCGCCATCGGGTGGAGTGACTTGTATGGCGATGTTCGTTGAATCGAATCCTCCAAGGTTTGTCTGTTTCCATCGTCGATCAGTTAGTTGCTCTATCTGAAAATATAACATTCCTTCATTTATTTTCTGACAAATAACGCCAAGTAGCACAATTAATATTTAGCGTATCGCGTCATTTATACCTATTTTTTTTATTAATATATATAAAAGTAAAACCCTAACCAACATTGTGAATGTGAAGTGAGTTTGTTTACATCACTAAGTATTTAACCGATCATTATGAAATTTAGCATTTACCTATACACAAATAGACATTCAAAGGTACAGCAATTGTCGTTGGATAATATCATTGAGAAAAAGGAATGTCTTTATTTTGATAGCAAAGCCGTGGAGCCGCTAGTTTTTGATAAAAAATAAGTAAATTTTCTTTATTATAAAAAAAAGTATTAGGCACCGACTTCAAACAGATTAGAAGAGACTATTGCAATTATAATATTACCTGTTAAATTAAGGGGACTTTTTTGTTTTTTTACTTAGATTTGTAATTATTTTTTTATTTAAAGGATTTATTTTACCAGTTTTAGTGTAAGATATGTTTGTAATATCGTGCTGATCTACAGTACGATATTTAAAACACTACGTACCGCAATATATAGTACCAAACTGTATACTAGTATACCACATTGCTTAATTTCCAAAAACCAGAAGTGGTATTTTGTGGTTTAAAATAATTGCGTAACAATCTTTTTTTTTGTCTAAATGTTTTGTAATCTCATTCATTACTCTCTTTTGCACATATCTCTGTAACCCCACACAAACACCTTAAAAATATCTTTAAATAATACCTACATGATTTGATTTTTGAAATAATTATTTTCTAACTCCCAAAGGTCAACGATCCTTCCATCATCAGCTCAGCAACATAACATATCGACTACTAAACGCAAATACCTATAAAGCTAGAGAAATACCTACTCTAAAACACGTTTTTGGGGCTTTAAATTTTATTTATTTATTTAATTTTTATCAGATCCTGATTTGGTGGTAATGAGGCCCACATCGTGGGCACCAAATCGGTCCACAATTGACAGAGATATCGCGTAACAAACATACAAAAAAAAAAAACAGACGAATCGGTAACCTCCACTTTTGTGTTTTTAAAGTCGGTTATAAAACATCTTTATTTAAAGTACGTAATCAATCATCGAAGTACAATTTCACTTATTAAACACAATTTAAGTAATTATGGGTTTTGGCAACTGAATTTGGGCAAAAATCGGAAAAACAAGGTGACTCGATTCTTGAACTATTTATAATATGTACCTACAAATTCGTACGGAGTCCGGGCGAGTCCGATTAGCACTAGTCCCAATTTTTTTGAATAAATTCATCATTTATTCTATTCCCCATAACCTATTATTAATCATGCCATTTGCTACTACAACTAGTGTTTGGTGGAAAATTCTCAATATCACAGTTGCCTGAGGACGGCATATGGGAGGATGATTTCTTTGCCAATTTTGCTTTGTATGAAAGTGAAAGCACTTCAGTCTTCAGGTTAATGGATCTCATTATTTATTGCGAGATTTACGAGGTAAAATGGTCTGTTACGAAGTGAATTTATTAATATCTATCTACTAGTTAGTTTTTACTATACCCTTCTGGATTAATTAAATATTACTTATTCTTATTAATACTTTAAGGTCAAAATATGCAGGTCAATATTGCAATATTATCTATCTAGAGTTTTAGCAGTAATGGATTCTTAATAATTAAATAAAATGCACCTCATTTTTTTACGGGTGCATCCACTCGGACACAATTGCACACAAATCCGAGGGATGTGTTATATTTATGTATTTTTAGTTATATTTAAATATATTTGGTAGATAATATTTTCTGCATAGTTATAACTAGGTGAAGTACCTACTTCATTGACAAAAAGTTGAGATTAAATTATTATGTCCGTATTGATTGAGGAGTCACCTTTCATATCTTAATAAAGTATTATAGCATTATAATATTATTTAGTAGAAAATTTAAATAAAATTAAGAATCGATCCACGATATTGTATTTAGTATCAAAACTTATCTATACATAAAGTAAATGTTTTGATTAAGGAGTCACGTCAGAATTAGGAACATGATGGATGAAGATTTATAATAATTTGGTATAATTTTTAGCATTTGAGAGTAGTTGGTAGACAAAATCTTAGCTCGGTAGTATTAAAATTAAATAAGTTACCATAGATTATAAATGTTTTTCCTGACACCGAAGATCATCAACTTACTTAAGGCCATCCATAGAAAATATTCCTGTAAAGTTACACACGATGACCTCATCTCCGAAGACATTGAGGTACATGCGGCGTTCGGCAAGGCTGCCTGCTTTCACCTCTCCTCTTTCTAAAGGGTGTCTCCGTAAGGGAGCACTTTTTAAATTTATAATATATTTTTTTTCGTGCAAGTGGCAACTCTGAAATTGGACAGCTGTCCCCTATGTTTATTCCGACTATTAAAAATGGAGTGCTTTTCGAAAGAACAACGCGTTATAATTGTGAAAACTCATTACAAAAATGGGAAAAGTTACGCTGAAACCACTCGCAAACTTCACCAAATTTTCAGTCGAGAGAGTGCACCTAATGTGTCAACTATTGGAAGAGTGGTAAAAAAAATTGAATAAACTCGATTATGGGTATTAAGGATTCTTTGCCTCAACGTACCTTTCGGTCTTTTGAAAACATTGCTGTTGTAAACGAGAGTGTCGCTGAAAACCCGAAAACAATAATTCGGCATCGTTCTCAACAACTTCAAATTTCACGAAGCACTACGCACCAAATTTTGTTAAAAAGCCTTCAAGCGTACAAGATTCAGCTAACTCAGAACATCAACATGACAGATCAACAAGACTCATCTTCTCCGATGAACCGCATTTTCATCTGAATGGCTAAATACACAAAATTGACGAGTTTGGGGCTCAGAAAATCTTCATGCAAGCCGTGAAAAACAAATGCCCCACAACGAGCAGCTGTCTGGTGCGGATTTTGGTCAGGCGTCGTGATAGTTCTTACTTTTTTGAAGGTGAGGCCAAAACTGCAGTGAATCTGAACGGCATTCGTTACAGGAATATGATAAAGGAGTTCTTGTGGCCTCAACTGGACGGCATGGATCTGGACTATATGTGGTTTCTGCAGGACGGCGCCACCTGCCACACCGCGCATGAGACCATCGACTCATTGCAGCAACGATTTCCAGAACACATTATCTTACGAAATTCTGATGTCAACTTTTTACCAAGATCGTGCGATTTAACGTCGTGTGATTTTTTCGTTTTGGTTTTGTGAAATCTCGAGTTTATGCAAATAATGCAGAAACAATTCCTGAGCTCAAATCAGAGATCCAACGCGTCATCGGTGAGATATAGCCACATCTCTTTGTAAAAGTCATGGCAAATTTCATGAAAAGAGAAATGGCCTGTCATCAGAGCCGTGGCCTGGGCTATAAAATAAAAAAATTTATAGGGTTTTTCTGAGAGGAAAAATAGCCTAAGCTACTCCTTATATAGCTGCTAGTAAAGTATTATCAAAATCGGTCCAGCCGTTTTGAAGATTACCCGGAACAAACAGACGCACAGACAGACAAAAATATTTAAACTGGTTTTTAGGCATAGGTATCTTGCAAATAACTGTGTGAGCATGAAAAAACCTATTATTATGATATTACAAACAGACACTTAAATTTTATTTATTGGTATGTATATATATGTATATAGATTAAGAAGCCACACTAAAAGTAATGTAAATTCTTGAATATCAACAGCACTGGACTAAGATTATTAGTAGGCACCCTACACGATCAATTACTACCATACTAAATGACACAAAATTTTCAAAAATATTCATCAAATACTTTCCGTGTTCCAGGTGGTTCCTCAATTCAGTTTCAGTTCAGTTTAGCTTCAGAAGTCACTTTTACATTGATGAAACTTTGGATATATCTTACTACAAACTTCAGAATTTGTCCTATAAGATAGTTTGCCCACCTACATATAAGGGGTGAGTTTCCGTTTAAAATTTGAAGTGGCTAATCAATCCATACGTACATAAATTATCTCTGTCTCATGTCTTTCATGTTCATGATATTTTCACTAACGGTTTAGTTTGTCTCTTCAACTTAATAGGCGATAAATATTGTTGCACCGTAGGATTAAATGGTTCTTGTATTGTGTAGTTAGTTTATAAACGATCGAGAGTCGTATGGAAACTGAAGAACAGCGCCATCTAGCATCAAGTAAGGTACAACGGACACTACGCATTAAAATATTGATTGATAATTCCGATACTTGAAGCGCCATCTAGTGTCGAATATCGGAAGATTATAGAACTCTGTAGATTCCTTAATGTACATCTGTCCGGAACATTCGATCGGTAAAACCGGAAACAAGCACTTCATGGTTGTAATGGATTATTTCACTAAGTGGCCAGAAGTCTTCGCCGTTCCCAAATAAGAGGCTTCAACAGTTGCAGATAAAATTCACAGTGACCAAGGAAGAAAGTTTGAGTCTCAAATATTTCAAGAGATGGGTCGAGTAATGGGTGCTCACAAAACCAGAACCATCTCTCCGATAATTAGACGGAATGGTGAAACGATTTAATTAAACACTGGAGAGGTATCTGGCAAAAGTTACTTTCTAAGTAAGCAACTGTCATACCGAAGTGCAGTCCACGAAAGTACTTCGGTAACACAAGCTTTCGCAAACTTCGGAAGAGAACTACGGTTACCCCCAGATTTAATGGCTGGAATACCCCCTGACGTCCTGCGCTGTATAACGGAGTACACAAAAGATTTGCACAACAAGATGAATGACATTTATGACAATGTCAGACAATCGGGCCAACAAATGTCTGAGAAGATGAAAACCCGTTGTAACCGGCAAATAAGCAATAAGGGACTTTGAAGAGAATTCGCTAGTGTAGCTACATAATCCAGTTCGCAGTACAGGGAGATCTTCAAAGCTACAAGCCAAATGGGATGCACCATACCAGGTAGTTACAAAAATCAATGTTGTTACCTACCGGATACAGAAGTGGCCAAGA